GACTCGTCGGGATGTTCCTATTACCAAGACTGGAGCCAAGAGGCGCGTCCCTCTGACCCGCCTTCACAACTCGCCATGGCAGGGCATGACCACCAGGCGCCAGCTCCTCAGTCCAGCGAGGAAGACAGTGCACGTCCCGAAGGTTTAAAAAAGAAAAAGAAAAGTTTTCGTAATATTTTCCCGTTAATAACACACAAGAGCGGGAATGACAAGTGCCCCGAGCCAGAGCCAACTGATCAATCCCCTTCAGCCTTTGAACAAGAATTGGCGGATCAGGAGAACCAGTCGCCCAACGACCCGGAGTTCGTCCGTCGGGCGTCGCAGCGCTGGCAGCGGAAGACAGGCGCCGTCAACTGTCAGTATCTCCAGATGTTCAGCCCCTTCGGGTGTCGAGACCACGTGTTGCCCGTCCAGTACACCAAGTTCCAGTGGCCCACCAGCCCCAGCCAGCAGTCGGCGTTCCAGCGGCGTGTGTCTCCCGTCCACTATGTAGAGTCCCTTTTCCCAGCGTCCCCTACCCTGCCTGTGCAGGGGACGTCTCCAGCAAGCTCTCCCTTCTCGAGGTCGAGCAGGCTATATTCCTCCATGATCGAACGATCAGCTGAGCTACAAGAGTCTCCGTTCCAAAGATCATCACATTCTTACTCCTCTGTGATGATGCCAAGTAAATGTCAGCGGAAAACATCTTGTCCTGAGCCTAGCAAGACTGAGCACAGCAGCGACAAGACCTCGGTCAAGACAAAGAAGCCCAGCATCCACATGCCCTTTGTCCGACGCTCCTTGACCCACGTAAGGAAGCTGTCTAAGACTCGTCAGCTTAAAGTCCCGCCGAAGCTTTCCTTGGATGACAGTGTGGCGGCGGAGGTGCGGAGGGTGGCGATGCGGGAGGAGCTGCAGGTGGCCAGGCAGGCGCTACTCAACCGCCTCAGCGTCAGGATACGCGGCACTCTCCAGGTACCCCAGCGCAAGACGTCACAGTCATCGCTGACCGTCACACCGACCGTCACCTCCTCCGCCTCCTACCAGAGCTACCTCTGCTCCCTCTCCGGGCTCTCCAGGGACTCCTCCTTCTCCAGCTTCTCCTCGATGTCGCCGTCTGCCTCGCCGTCACATTCCTCAACGTCCCTGTCGTCGCCACAGTCATCGACGTCACTGTCGTCGCCACAGTCATCGACGTCACTGTCGTCGCCTTCCTCTTCGTCACTGTCGTCGCCACAGTCATCGACGTCTCTGTCGTCGTCAGCGTCGCATGGACACTTAACCTTACAAGACATCTTTATTGCCGAGCCCAAGATTGCTGAAAAATATGTACGTACCAACCTATAATATTTACACATCACACACACACACACACACACACACACACACACACACACACACACACACACACACACACACACACACACACACACACACACACACACACAGAACGTGAAGCGATATTTTGTACAGTTTCCAGTTTAATATATTGCGGTTATCGCATCTATCGCCTGTGTATCGTCTCCCGCCGCAGCAGCAGCGATCACAGTACAGACGCAGTATGTAGTCGCTTTCAATTGGTCGGTAGTTAGGTGTCTAATTGGTTCTGGCTTGGATGCCTGCCCGGGTGCTTGCGTGTACACCAGTCCCATTCGTCCGTACCGTTCTGCATTTCCGTACATGAGTTACAACAGCGGCATATTTGTGACGGGGGAAGGCCTTGAGCGGGGCTCAGGTTCCGGGGGCCAGTCTCGCGGAGTGTGACTGACTGACCGCTGTTCAAGTCGACCCTGACCACAATTTCAACTAATAATTAGCACCGTACATGCTGGCGATCGCGGCTGGGAGGGGAACAGAATGTCCGGGTACTGGCCCTGGCGCTGAGACCCACTACCAACAACCTATTGACAACTGAGATAACCGATTAGTTAACAAAGCACTCTGTTAAAACCGAATTATTCTATGTGGTAATTCTTGCATTTGATGATAACTTGAGTAATAATACTAAGAATAATAATTATTTTGCCATATAATGTGTTTATTGTATGACGTCACCGGCAAAGTATTCCCCGCTATAGGGCCTGTCGGGTAAATTGTATTAATATTTTAATATGTATCAGACCCCGGTTAATTGAATGCAGAAGAGATGGCTGGGCAGGTGGAGAGGGAGGATGGCGTAATTCGCCTGACCTTTACAGTTAGCAACCTCAGAGGAAATGGAGATTGAGCAGTTACCCCTCGTGGCAGGCAAGTGACGTCATCACGCGCCTTTGACGTCACATGCCAATTACGTCGTGACGTCTACTGAAACTAACCACAGCAGGTGCCAGGTGTCGGGATAATATTGGTGACTCGCGCTCGTCCTACTCCCCATTGTTATTATTCCGGATGTGCGTATATTAACTTTGAATAGGGTGAGGCTGGGTTGTGTAATCCTCTACCCTGTATAGTGATCATGATACTCACAGGACGGGAACAAAAGTATGAACACAATGGGTGTGCTTTGGTATAATGAATGGAAGGTGGGGCAGTGAGGGAGACACAGTGTAACCTTTCCTACTACTCATCCTTACTCATTCTTCCCAGAGTAAAGGCCGGGGGAGTCACGGGCGTGTGTGGCGATACGCGGAAACTTTGTGTATAGCTCGGTGTTGCCACACTTTGTTTTCTAATATAAGTTTTTTCCTGTTAAAATTAGCGCTACAGGACATTCATAAATTGTGATGGGTTTATATTTTTTTAAGATTAAATATTTAATTTGGTTTATGTATTACAAACACCCGCCCCCTCAGCCCTCTACATAATGCCTTTCTTAACTCTTGATTTTCTTCCTCCTGCAGGCGATCATGTTCCCGACGGAGCCCCGCCCGGAGTGGCATCGTCACCTTCGCCACGTCATCCACAAGGCGGGCCAAAAGATCTTTAAGAAACCCGAGCAACACGACACCACCATCCCAGATAACCTTCGCTATCAACTCAAGTATATCTACGTCTACTAGCCAGCGACCCACCATAAGGGCGCCAGATTCTAGGGATGAAGTCTTCCTTCGGCCAAGCGTGAATTTCTTCAAGGAAAGCTTATCTGGTTCCTCCCGCGCAGTCTTTGATCTCTCGGAGCATTTACCAGGTCCTTCGGGGGCACTTGTAATGTAACCTTTGGTTACGGTTGATCAATTCCTGGGAGCTGTGCCCTGGGCATGAGGAGTCTTAACCTGTACAACATTCACCGCACATCTTCCCACACATCACTCATGACTGAGTGTTTCATTATATAATGACCACATTGTTCACCATCATCCTTACGGTCTATTCATGCCCGTGCCACCTACGGGTGGCTTAATCTTCATCCATCAATCACCGTCATCCACATCTCACGACATCGCCGCCTCATCCGTCTTCCAGAAGGTTTCTCCCGTGTCACAATTTGCTCATCACATGTCATAACTAATTGTCATGATACAATGAGCCACAACAAATCGGAGAGTCATGCCATTTTCAGATACAATTGTGTAGTGTTCATATGCCATTGGCTCCCCCCCCCTCACTCCCCTCCCCCCCCCCCAACATCACCCCTCCCCAGGCCCTCCCCACCCCTAATGATGTGCCAATTTTAAGTTTTAAATTCTAAAAAAAAAAAAAAATAGGCCAATCGACGGCAGACTCTTCTGAACTGTTTGAAAAGATTCAAGAATGTATTATGTATGGAAAGTTGATTCTTGCATTTGCCATATTTGTGTATTTATGATTGAATTAATATATGAGGCTTAGCCATAGCCAATACCCACTGTCTTGTATGTTCAATATTTGATATGAATGTATTTGTTGGTGTAAGGATTTGGACTCAAATAATAAAACTATAAATTCATGTTATAATATTTTCATGACTGTCATGGTGAATTTCCATGACTCTTATTGCCAATATCAACACTCCTGGCACTCCTAGCACTGTGGCTCAGAGTGTCAGTACATCAGCGAGCCTCCTTACTGGAGGTGGACACAGTACGAGACTATAACTCTCAGAGGCTCTAGCAATGCCACTAAACTTTCGTTTTTGCAAACAGAATTGCTAGAGACTTTAGAATTGTTGTTAAAGTTTCTTGGATCCAGTCTTGGGTCTGGCTCAAGATGCAGTCCTGGTCTGGCTCAAGATGCAGTCTGGGGTCTGGCTCAAGATGCAGTCTGGGGTCTGGCTCAAGATGCAGTCTGGGGTCTGGCTCAAGATGCAGTCTGGGGTCTGGCTCAAGATGCAGTCTTGGGTCTGGCTCAAGATGCAGTCTTGGGTCTGGCTCAAGATGCAGTCCTGGTCTGGCTCAAGATGCAGTCCTGGTCTGGCTCAAGATGCAGTCTGGGGTCTGGCTCAAGATGCAGTCTGGATTGTGATAGTGTCCACCACCAGACAGGACAGGCGGTAGACATACTAGAGTTGCACAGACTTGCTCTGTGTAGGCAAGGGGGTTTCTATATGTACATGCAGGTGTGCACAAGCGAGCTGACATATGTACATTCATTTCGGTGTGAGCTGGTGAACATATGAATATGTTAGCGAGCTTGTGTCCATATGGATTAACGTGTGTGTTGCATATGTGCGCACTGACAGGCATGTCGGTGATTATATTCTGTTGGCCCGTCATATGTAAGTAATATGTACCGTTGTTCTTCCTGACCATGTGCTTGACCTCAGGGCGGGGCGAGCACCGGGACCCGAAGATGCGCTCTTATTGTGACATTGATCATGTTCAAATGTATGTGTATGTGTGTATATATATAATATATATATATATATATGCAATGGTACTGTTCTCAACATGTACTAAATCCAAAAATACGTAAATGTAGCATTCTTTGTGTCAGTGAAACATACTTCTGTATGTGTCAATGGAACACTTGTGTCAGTGTGTGACATCTTTGTGACAATGGAATGTGCCAATGGTACGTACTTCTTGCCAGGAGGGCTGACGTCAGGATCTCAGGGAACAAATGTGTAAATAAATGTATATTATATATAACTGTTTAAAAGCATACATTATTGTATTATTATTCATTCTGTGACACTTGAGAATACACGCGGGAGACACTGCGAGCAGGACAATGTATTATGCAGCTACTCTGCTACAGTTGGCGAGATGAACTCAAATGCAAGTGTGTGTGTGTTTTAAACACTTGTATAATGTCGTTAATCACTATGTCGGATACTGCAATAGTGTCCACGAGAGATGAATGTCCAGGAAGGTAGACCATGGACTCTTCGGTTACACTAGGGCAGTCTGTAAACCATGATGTGTGATGTCACAACACGGTAAACTATCACAGTTATGTGATGTCACAACACGGTAAACTATCACAGCTGCTGTGTGGTGATGTCATAACACGGTAAACTATCACAGTTATGTGATGTCATAACACGGTAAACTATCACAGCTGCTGTGTGGTGATGTCATAACACCCGGTAGAGTACCTCAGCTGTGCGGAAGACACAGACTACTCTATGGTGGTGTAGTAAACCTCATTAACAATAATTAAATTATTCATAATTAAAAACCACTCTCTGATCCTCACTGTACAAACTTTCCCCTAATCTGATGTCAGATTAGGACTTAATCTGATAAGTCAGATTAGGACTTAAGAACATTATTTTACAAACGGTATATCTGACATCACATTTGCATGGTTTCGTAAGATACACATGACCTCTATACGTCAAATTTCATATCGGAATAAACGCATTATCTTAATTTGGGGTAAAAACTTGGGGTGAACTGAGATATCTGAAGAAATCTGAACACCGAGGCTACTCTTTACTGACAACAAGTGAACGTTGCTGGGAATTATTCACTGCGTTACTAAAACAGTTGTGGTGAATGATATGAATAAATTTCTGGATTACCAGACAGTCCTCACAGTCAAAGATGAAACGAATAACGTCAGTATGGATGGAAGTGGACCGTCGGCAGCCTGTCTATCACTGCTTGACATAAGTAATCACGAGTGGTCACTAAGCCAGCTGGACTGTGTATCGGACGGGAAGTGAGGGGCAAGGAGCTGGGATATGAGGGCAAGGAGCTGGGATATGAGGGCAAGGAGCTGGGATATGGGGGCAAGGAGCTGGGATATGGGGGCAAGGAGCTGGGATATGGGGGCAAGGAGCTGGGATATGAGGGCAAGGAGCTGGGATATGAGGGCAAGGAGCTGGGATATGGGGGCAAGGAGCTGGGATATGGGGGCAAGGAGCTGGGATATGGGGGCAAGGAGCTGGGATATGGGGGCAAGGTGCTGGGATATGGGGGCAAGGAGCTGGGATATGAGGGCAAGGAGCTGGGATATGAGGGCAAGGAGCTGGGATATGAGGGCAAGGAGCTGGGATATGAGGGCAAGGAGCTGGGATATGAGGGCAAGGAGCTGGGATATGGGGGCAAGGAGCTGGGATATGGGGGCAAGGAGCTGGGATATGAGGGCAAGGAGCTGGGATATGAGGGCAAGGAGCTGGGATGTGAGGGCAAGGAGCTGGGATATGAGGGCAAGGAGCTGGGATATGAGGGCAAGGAGCTGGGATATGAGGGCAAGGAGCTGGGATATGGGGGCAAGGAGCTGGGATATGGGGGCAAGGAGCTGGGATATGAGGGCAAGGAGCTGGGATATGAGGGCAAGAAGCTGGGATATGAGGGCAAGGAGCTGGGATATGAGGGCAAGGAGCTGGAATATGAGGGCAAGAAGCTGGGATATGGGGGCAAGGAGCTGGGATATGAGGGCAAGGATCTGGAATGAGGGCAAGGAGCTGGAATATGAGGGCAATGAGCTAGGATATGGGGGCAAGGAGCTGGGATATGAGGACAAGGAGCTGGGATATAAGGGCAAGGAGCTAGGATATGGGGGCAAGGAACTGGGATATGAGGGCAAGGAGCTCCGATATGAGGGCAAGGAGCTGGAATATGAGGGCAAGGAGCTGAAATATGAGGGCAAGGAGCTGGAATATGAGGGCAAGGAGCTGAAATATGAGGGCAAGGTGCTGGGATATGAGGACAAGGAGCTGGGATATGGGGGCAAGGAGCTGGGATATGAGGGCAAGGAGCTGGGATATAAGGGCAAGGAGCTGGGATATGAGGACAAGGAGCTGGGATATGAGGGTAAGGAGCTGAGATAGGACGACAAGGAATTGGGATACGAGGACAAGGAGTTGGGATAATAGAACGGGGGGAAACGAACAATGCCTAAGCATTTGGCCCATTGGGGATCGAGCTCCGGCCTGCAAAGGGCGAGGCGGTTGCCCAACCGACCAGTCCAAGTAGATTTTTTTAAATTTTGCCCCGAGGGGCGAGTTTATTGGGCAGCGCCACTCATCCTGTGAGTGGACACACCGCCATAGCAGCATGTACAACACTCCCCAAAAGGAAGAAAACCCGCTGGGTTGCTCATCCTGTCACTTGTACCCAAACACAGCTGGGACTTGCTTAACTGTCTCAAGTGAACAGTTTATCAAACAAGAAGATTAACATCTAGCAACCCTTTAAAAGCTTACGTTATCTTGCGGGTGCAAAATTGGAGAATCTTTTAAGAACAGTATCAATATTTGACAAATAGTGTTTTCCTAACTCAAACAATGTGGGGTTTATTATTCTACACATATTTCTAATGTCTCTCAGGTGTTCACATTCACGTAGATAGTGGTCAAGGCGGTGTCCGTCACTCTCACCACAGATTCTGCAACTTCGCTGATCAACTGTTGTTTCCATTCCATATCTCCATGGATATTTGTATCCAAGACGGATTCTCGCTATTACTGATTCTCTCCCTCGTCCTCCTCCTCTTCGTCCATAATGATTGGGATTGCCAGCTGCAACCATGTTGTACCATCGTACGGCAACCAATGTGTGGTACGCAACACCAACCTTTACTAATTTAACAGATGTAATAAACTTGGCTGAACATTGACAAGAATCCGTCAAAATTTGTCTTTTTTTTCGTTGACTGCGGTCAACGTTGCTCCATTATTACTGGCGAATCTGCTTTTAGGCGGAGACAATCTAGGCATCAGCGTCACTCTTCCCTGGGCCAGTCACCATGCTGCCAACGGCCATTACCCCTCTTACAGGACCCTCCCCCCCCCCACCACCACCACCACTACCACTCTGCTGCTCTACTTACTCCATCACCACGCCACTCCCACCTGCTCCTTCAACACCGGGTACGTGGTCAATGGTCACAATATACCTGCAACCAGTGACGTAACGTAAGCTAACTTTAACACTTGCTAATATGAACACCTCAAGCAAGAGCTGCTGCCTAACACCACTGCCGTATGCAAAAGATAATTTGGAGCTCAAAATGATGCTGAGAAAATTATTGCATGCACATAAAACTCCCATGTGTGAAAAATACATCCACTATATTGGAGCTGGTCGGCCGAGCGGACAGCACACTGTACTTGTGATCCTGTGGTCCCGGGTTCGATCCCAAGCGCCAGCGAGAAACGATGGGCAGAGTTTCTTTCACCCTGTGCCCCTGTTACCTAGCAGTAAATAGGTACCTGGGTGTTAGTCAGCTGTCACGGGCTGCTTCCTGGGGGTGGAAGCCTGGTCGAGGACCGGGCCGCGGGGACACTAAAAAGCCCCGAAATCATCTCAAGATAACCTCAAGATAACCAAGGTGAGCTAATGCCACGAAAATGTGAGTCAATATCGTTCACAATTAGTGTACTTGCTCAGAGCCACCTCGCGCACACACATTCACCCAAGCATGTTTCCATTTGCCATACTTGATGAATGAAGCCCACACTGTCACCGTCTCTTCTCAACCAATGCATGGTTCAGAACAGTTCACAGGAGTTACTTTAGAGTTAGCACTTGTAGCTTTCGAGGGTGACAGTGCTCAAGAGCTCACGACAGCACATGTCCTTGACACACATAAAGCCTCAATGAGAATGAGGAGACACCCAGAATGAGAGAGACGCTCTCACACCTCACTTCACGTAAGTTAGAAGCCTTCACATAGAGTGCAAATCAGAATGCAGTTGCAACCATACACATCTGATTGGGTAAATTATTGGCTTCTCTAACGTCACTGGAAGTCCCAGAGGAAGGGTCATCCAAGGGTCAGGCCAAGGCCTTGACCCTTTCTCACTACCTGCTATCCTCCACAGCTAAAGATATGGCGGCGGGATCCACTCACAGTCATAACGGCGAGATGTATTAACTGCCATTTGCTAGTATAACCAGACGTTACACGTCACCACATACACAATAACTGGCAATGCGATCAATAATCCGTAGACACCGAGGTACTCGTCTCCTGGGATAGGGTGATATACTAATCTTCAGTGCACAGGACTGCACTGCAGCCATGGGGTACAAGTCCAGCTGAGAGATCACCATTCTCTCACAAAGGTCTTCTGGCTCCTACAAGACAATGCAGTGGGACTCTTAAACCACAAACTACTGCCATACTTAACAGGAGGGATGGGGTGTTAACTCTATTACTCCATGACTCGATCGCACGTCAATTATCGGTACAACTGACTCGAAATTTACCTCAGAAACCCTACGGGAATGATATTGTGTCACTGTTAAATTAGCAAAGTAATCATGAAGTCAGTTACCATTCTATCCAAGAATCAGTAACTATAAGTTATCAAGAGCACTGTAAAACTAATGTGATTTTTATAGTTTTTTATTTAAGATATAGAGAACACTACATTCCAGTGTAAAAAAAAATCCAGCGAATAACATTCACAAGTGTTTTGGATACATTCTCTCGCCGTCTTTGCTACGTTTTGGAATAATACCAAAAGTTGTCTTACCACTTTGATCATACACTCTCCACTTCTCTCATCTCATACCACTGTGAAAAATTACATCGTAATTTTCTGTATTAGCACCATGTTCAAACTATCCTCTCACAAGATACCAAACACCATTACGTTATAATTTTTCCACCAAATGAGTAATTCTAATTTTCTAATGGTAAAATTACCATTAACTCAATAATTCAGTATCAAATAGTCTAGCATCAACCTAGTATATTAATATAT